AGAGAGAGAGAGAGAGAGATTTTAGAATATTTTCCACATAATTAAGTGCTGAATAAAATTAAAAATAATTGTTAATATATTATTAATACAAAAGTATTAGTGAAACATTAAGAATATGTCAAAATTGCATTAACATGGACTGAATTTTTCAAAACCTAATCCATTCATTGATATGTGAATATAAATGTAAATAAATTATAAATATAAAAATAAAATCAACCATTATTTTGCATTATATAAAATGTTATAATAATGAATAAAATTTAAATAATATAATAATTAGACATTAATATTGAAAAACAAAATTTTATTGTTTAAAATAATTGATTTAATCAAAAATATTTCTAACATAAATGGCAATAATAACTGTTTTTATTATTTCAAATAACATTTATCATTATTTCCTGATTTTAATGTCATATGAAAAGACAAAACACAGCTAATGCTGTTATTACACAAAAATTATGATGTTTTGTTGGCTTTCAATACAAATATAAGAGTATATTAAACACAAATAAATAAAATACAATTTATATTATATATTGTAAGAAAGCCTTTAATCTGATTTTATTTCAAAATGAATTTAAGGCAATATTATTCTGAAAGCTTTGTCGCGAAAAATTCAATGAATCTTAAAATAAGTATTAAAAATTGTTTTATCAAAGAAAACAATAGCAAAATTGCTAATCTCTTCTGATCCCTTACATACGGCTCTCAAAAACTAGACTCACAATTAATTACACATTCAATTAATTCGTGATTTTAATATAAAATTGTTTGATTTATTATATCTTTAATTGAATGTAATTTACAAACACACGGAAAGTAAATGAAATGCTAATGAAAAACGGGGTTTCAGTAAATATCGATTCATTATTAGTGTATAGTCTGTCGTTTGTAATTAGAAATCTTTTAGATATAATAATAGATATTTGAATGCAAATCTTATAGTTGTAAAAATTATATAATAAAATATAAATATGTTTAATTAATATTATTTTTACACACACAGTTACAGTGTGATACAGTATATTAAATTCATATAATATTAATATTCAATAAACTAAAACATTACATAAATATAAAAATATAATCCAATATATTTTTGAATATTTAAAAAGGTAAATATTGCACATTAAATTTAAAATTATTAAATTATTAAAAAATTTATAACATAAAAGCGGTATAAAAACAGATGAATTATTAAAATGTTATTCCTTTCATTAAATTCTCAATTCTTGTCGCGCTTTCCAACATCTCTCTGAAGCACTTGTATTTTAGATTGTGATAACTATCGACAGAGAATTAATTCATTAAAAATAATTATACATTCAATGAATGAAAAAGTGTACTCACTTTCTGAGCTCTTTAGTGGGTGTATAGCGTTTTACTTCCAGATTTGGATAACTAATGAGTTTTGTGCTTAAACTCTGTTGCCGTACGGCGTGATAGCCAAGCAGTCCGGCGCCCACAAGCATTAGGTCCGCGTCGCCCATCGAGAATGTGACCACATCTATGTTGAGCACATCCGAGTGCACCTGCATATACACCTCGTTCTTCGCCAAACCACCGCTTATTAGCACCACTTTTAAGTCGGGAATTCTGTCCACAAAAATAAATTTTGATTTTATTTTATGAATGCGTAAAATATTATAATTAATGTCTGACTTGAGTTCGTCGAGAATGTATTTGGTCTCATAAGCCAGTGCCTCAATAGTAGCATGGTAACTTTCCACAATACCGTTACCACTCATCGTTAAGCCATAGAAACCGCCTTAAAATATATGTAAATTTGTTTATTAAGTCTCTGTTTTAATGAATAACTAGTAATTACTGTTGTGTAACTTTAGTGAAAAATAACTATAATTACATTTGAGTGTAATTATTAGTTTAAACTTATATTTAGTTTATAATTATATTCAATGAAAGCAATGTTTTAAAAGTGATTTGTCATATAATGACAGCCAAAGCCCTGCCTTATATTCATTACTACTACTGTATTATATGCAGTGAAAGATCACATAAAATAAATGATTTCCATTCAATTTCTACTCTTTAGAAATGCATAGAAAATAAAAAGCAAATATTGTCACTAAATATAACATTAGATACATTATATGCTGTAATCGCTATATTTGCACTGAATATACCTCTCATATAAGGGTTGGCCAGTAATCTGGAGCCATGAAAACACGGATTCACATTCAGCCGATTCTTGAAGGGCTTCTTCAGAATCTGTTCGTTCAGCTCTTTAATGATGTCATTCATAGACATGTCTTTGTATTTGCGATAGTATTGAGCGCTATTTTTGATGACATGCTCGACAAGTATGCCGGTAGTGCTCTGTCCGGCCTCTCGTACGTAATAACCGGGAAATATAGCGTCATAATAGGGGCCCCAAACGCCTTGAGTGAAGTAACGCTCGCGAGTGGATATCATATCGCAAGTGGAAGTGCCGGCAATCATGCAAAACATGTTGTCGTACTCCAGACTCTGCCCACCATTCTTGATGTCCGGCGAAAACATAAGCATTGATAGGACGCCCGCGTGGGCGTCGATTATGGGACTCCCAATTGAGATGTCAACCACGGCATCCAAATTGTCAATTAAACCCAATTGTTTGGCCGCACATTTGCTTACAAACCCGATATGTGTCCCCGGATTCACGATTTTCTCTGCAGGTTTGCATTGAATATAAATTTTAAAGTTTTAAATTAAAATAACAGATAATGTATTGAGGCATAAAATGTAATTATTTTCTCGCATAAACAATAAATATAAAATTATAGATAAATTAAGTAATAATTAATGTTACTATTGATTGAAAACATGCCAGAAATAGGTCATAGTTTTGCGCGATTCATATTAATAGTGAAAATAAACGAAATGACAAATCCTTAACATTAATATAATAACGTATAAACATTTTGTTATCATTTAATTGACTACTATTTATCACAGGCTTTCCCACAAACCAATCGATTTTAATTAATTAATAAAATAAATTTGTATAAATGTTAGTTAAAATAAAAGCAATCAATTTGTGTGCAAACCTCCGATCCTAGACTTGTCTTTCGCAAACTCTTGGAGTCCAATGGCATCGAGAAAGGCGTCGTTCCAGCGCTTATTGACCGCATCGTAACCCCACTTACAGACAACACTACACACCGATCGGGGATAGTCTTTGACGTCGAGTCCGGAGCACTTCCAGGCCAACCAATCCGGGAGTTCCATAAACCCGATCGCGTCATCAAACCTTTGTTTGTCGTTTCGCTTTAACCACAAGAGTTTGGCCAAAGAGAACTCAGGCGAACACTTCCCACCCATTTGTTGCAGAACTGCATTCTTTGAGGCCAACAGATATATAAACATTTGTGACACTTATCTCACTTTTAGAGTAACTTTTAAATGTTATAAATTATTTACATTAGTGTTGGTTATAAGATCGGCTTCAGTATTGGCCCTGTGGTCCATCCACATCACCACATCATTGCCACTCTTTCTGTCATTTTAATTCATAAATTACACACTAATTATTGAGTAACTTATTTTATAATCATAATATAGTTTAATAACAATTAGATATAATAATAATAATTACTTTTTATCGATAATAACGAGAGAACAGGTGGCGGAGAAGGAAACCCCTCCGATTTGGCTCACATTCACTTTCGATGTCTTCAAACACTCCTAAAAATTTATATTCAATTAGTATTTAAATTAAATTAAAAGTAAAACAATATGAAAATACAATACTTGAACGCATTCGCAAAGTCCGGACCAGATTTCATCGCTATTTTGTTCGTACATTTCTCCCATAGGGTTGTGAACAGTGATCTCCTTTTTATGAGTGGCCAGTGGTGTGGCCTCAATCTGACCATCGGCTAACTTTATAAACGCCACCCGAACACTACCACTGCCCACATCCGCGCCGATTACAATCATCGGCTTATTATCGGTTGACATAATTATTACAATGATATTTAAATTTTAAATACACCACAAATATTCAGGGATTATCAAATAATCACTTCAAAATCGCAAACACAGTATTTATATTTTAAAACTGATTAAATATATGATTCTTGAATGATGTGTTAAAATTCAAGGTTTGAATGCGAAATTAAAATTAATTCACGTAATATAATGTTGTAATAATTATAATAATTGTTTTAACAAATCGTATGACAATAATAATTGTTGTTAACTAATGCATGGCTTTAGAGCTAATGACACGAAGAAAATGATTGCATTTACAGTTAGGAATTAATAAATAAATAAATACCAGTCCTTGGGATGGATTGGGAAATACAGGCAATCAAACCGGCAATTGGCTGATAAGCAAGCGGTGAACTCGTGGTGAAAAACTTGATATATTACTTGAATTTTTGTTCATTCCTTTAAATTAATGAATATTTCTTTCTTGACTTCAAATAACACACTCTTTGACGTTAAGAATTCATTTGATTTACAATTTCATTAAATTCAACTGAACTCCAGGTCTGGGATAAAGATTTTTGTTTGTGATTAGAATCTCATTATAAANCTCCAGGTCTGGGATAAAGATTTTTGTTTGTGATTAGAATCTCATTATAAATGATGAGTTCATAAACAGTATACCAATCATTACCAGAATATAAATAAGGTTTTATCGCTGATAATACACATATACAGCGTTCACAACTAGGTGTATATAATTAGCACTCAATCTTTACCTAAAATCAATTGACATTGAATTTTAAAATGAAATATATTTTGATTTAATGAACATTTAATAAACATAGGATTCAAAGGTCTTTCTGGTGGAAACTTAAACAAAAATATCATAATACTGTAGTTTTAATTTGAGACAAGAATTTAATAGTTAACATTTAATTTGATATACCATTTATAATTGCAAAATTTTTTACTTAATTCATATTTAAATATATCATGTAAACTTTGTCACGTGAGCATGATTTAGTCACTAAATTTTAGTGTAAACTGACTTAATCAGATTTAATCACATTGTTCAATTTTTCAGTATTTATGCAAATTTTTTATTGTACAGTATGCTTCACAGACTAGTCGCAGGGCAAACCATATGATTTTGAACACGTACATTGTTACACACAAAGCGCATGTGTGAAAAGCGCTGAAACACGGTGCTGACACATGCGCTTTGTGTGTAACAATGTACGTGTTCAAAATCATATGGTTTGCCCTGCGACTAGTCTGTGAAGCATACTGTATACCTTCTGTACTATATCTATAAATAGTTATTACCTATCTATAATTATCATCTCAACTTTCCTACACTAATAATGTTATTACATTTGCTGTTAAAACTATTAATATATAACTTATAAGACAATATTTTTCTATTCTGTATTAATTACTAACGTATTCCTGATTTTGTTAAAGTCCAAAATATTGATAAATAATTTTATAGTAAAAATGTGTTTCATTATCTGGTCTTAAACTACAGGGCCGTAGAAAGTTTACAGAGTGTAATACATTAGATATTTGTAATTTAATCAAAAATATTAAATATGAATAAAGTTTTTGGTAAATACAGGAAACTAAGCGATTATTGATATGATATCTGATTTGAAAACTAAACAAATCGTATCATTGCATTCAATTCACTCCAATGATTGGCGTGTGTTTTATAAATTACTTTTACTGTTAGTTTGTCTTTCATTTTTAATACCGTATTTCACTCCCAATAAAATTTTACAAATAATATATTAGTAAAGAAAGTGCTTAAAGACATAGTAAATCTAATAATAGCAAAAGTCTTATAGAATTTGATCTCAAATCTCATTAATTAACTCAATTTACAGCGAAGTAAAAGAGATGCCAACAGAGAGTGGAGACATTGGCGAGCATTTGGTGTCATATCTTAGGGGAAAATTTTTGGCACAAATCAGTACAACTCATGAGGAATACGACGACTCCGACATCGATGGCATTCGTACGGACGACTCGATTCTTCGCCGCTTTCTGGTGGCAAAGAATGGCGGTATTGAGGACTCGCTGAAGATGTTGGTCAACGCCATGAAGTGGCGCAAGTCGTTTGACGTGAACCGTCTGAACGCCGCCTCATTTCCCCGCGAATACTATCAAATGGGAAGCCTTTTCACGTATGGATTCAACTTAAACGGCGCCCAAATGATTGTCTTCAGAGTCAGAAACAACAAGAAGCTGAACCTGTGGTCAGAGATGTTGAAGAAATATCTGGTGTTTCTAATAGAGAAGGAGAGCCACCGGTTCGCCAATAATCAGCACAAAGGGGTTTGCATTGTGTTTGACTGCAACGGCGCCGGCATTGGGAACGTCGACATTGACTTCATATCGTTTATTGTCCGCACGTTTACCGATAATTACCCGACACTTCTGGAGTCGGTTGTCATTCATGAATTGCCATTCATATTGAAATATGTCTTCCAATTGGTTCAGTCATGGCTTCCCAAAGAGCACAGAGAGCTCCTCCATTCGGTCTCCGCCGAGGATATCAACGAATATATAGCGCCCGAAGAGTTGCCCGACTTTATGGGCGGCACTAATCCATTGTCGTATAGAAATTACCCAAAGACTGCGCCCACAGCTCAAGAATTGGCTCATCAAATGGGAATCAGTCAGAAAGATGTCGATAAACTGATCAAACATATACAGCCGTTTATTCAATGAAGTGGTGCTGTGTTTAAGCAGATTATTATTTGATTAAATAATTTGCATTTAATTATTTATAATACTCGTTACTAATATGTTTTATATTTTAATTATTTATTTTTGATAATCTATAAATAAATAAAAATATTTTATTATTTTACTCGCCGTTTGACTTATTTATCAGTAAATGCCATCACAACACAAACCACATCTATTTTGAGATAATAATGCTTTCATACAAATTAAATTTTACTCAATTAAGGAAATTAATAATTTTAATAGAGATTTGTCTCTATTTTCTATTGATTTTTTGTTGTAAATTTTGTTTTAAGTTTATTCAATATATAGTATAAAATTAATTTTCTTTTTCCGTTACATTACATCCAAAACAATGTAATTAATAAATGATATATTAATTTACAATATTTTAAAAAATGAAATATTAATAAATGGCTTAATTAGTGATGAATGAAATCAAAGGATGTACTGCTGGGAGGAGGCAGTGATGTCCTAAACCCAAGCTCTCGGTTACCGTAAAAGACATTATCGTTAAGACATTGATTGCTAGCACTTATACTGCGATCAATTCGCGTAATGTCTTCCTCGGAGTCCAACACTTGTTTCTTTGTCGACGACTTATTTCTCAATGCCTTTAGTTTTGTTGTGTAAATATAAGCTCCGAATACAAGACCCATATGTATGAGCGAAACGGTGAGCGCCGTATAAAATATAGCCAAACCTGTGTTGCAATCCTCGCATTCCTCCGTTTGAAACACTTCTTCTGTTCATTTGAAACAAAGAAAAACAATTTTAAAATTTCTAAAAATATATAAAATATTAACTATTATTTTCTCACGTTTTTGGATAATTTTGTTCGCGTTTTGTTTCCCGTTGTCGTTAGAGTTTGAGTTAGCGTTTGAATCCTTGTTATCGCCGACCATAAGTGTGAGAGAGAGGGGCACCTCCTGGTCGCGGGACTTCTCGGTCGACGCCACTATCCTATGTCGCGGTGAAGGTCGGGGCGGAGGTCCCGCTGGCCGGGAGTCACCCCATTCTAGGTATGAAGAATGGAGTGGTGGACGCGTTTTTCGGGTCGGTTTGCTTGTGGTAGAGGTCGTGGTCTCCGGTTGTGGAAAGTAGGCGTCGTTTCGGTTCATATATTGCGGCGGCAAATGAGTGACAGCTTTGGGCTCTGAGTATACGTGTTGTCCGACGACCGGCTGCTGTACGTACGGCGGGTACGCGTGGTGTGAATGGTATGGCATCGATGGGGCGTATGGTTGCGGGTATGGGTATGGCTGCGATGGTGGGTATGACTGCCAGTTGTTTCGGGGAATTTCCATTTGACTCGAGTTATAGTAATTTTGATTTGGATTATATTGAGATGGATTGAAATTATTACTTGGATTAAAATTATAATTTTGATTGTATTGATAATTATGTGGATTGTAGTTATTGTCATAATTTGATTGCATATAACTATTGCCTGAGTTTTGATAGTTTTTCTGATAGTCGGGAGGGTATGAGAATTGGGTTCGGGGTTTGTGTTGATCATTAGGCTGTTGTTGTTGTGGCTGTTGGACAGAGTATTGAGGACTATTGAAATTATAACTTTCCCGCATTTGGTTTCCACTGTTTTTGCTATTCATGCCGTTATAACCGTACGGTTGAGATAATGAAGGGACCGGAGGAGCAGCCACTTTGGCTGAAGATTCAATGTTTTGAGAGTTTGCGACAATAGGTTTTGCATCAGATAATTGTTGCTGTGGTTGTATTTGAGGACTCGGATTAGATGCAAGTGGCAGTGGTTGGAGCTGTTGTTGGGGTTGGGGTTGAGGTAACTGTTCAGTCGTGGCATTTGATGTATTGTTTTGCTCTTCCATTAAAGCTCTTCTGGTATTAAAAGCATAGTTTGGGTTTGAATTGATTTTATTGTCTGTTTTATTAGCTTTCAATCCTTTAGTTCGTTTCCGGACCGCAAGAATCGCCTCATCATTGGCTATAAGAATCGGTTGCAACGACTCGTCTTGTCTAAGAGTATCGGTTTCGTTGATGTATTCCTCAACATCTTTGTCGTCGTCGTTATCAAAGGATTGGTTTTCATCAGATATCTGTCTCTTACGTCTTCTACCAAAAGACTCGGAACCGGACACACATTTGATTGGTTCACACTTTTCCTGACAGAAGCGGATCTGCACTTCAAAGTTGACGACACCTGTAGTCGGGAATCGAAAGGCTTTGAACGTCGAGAAAAGCGATCGCTTGTCTCGCGGGTCGACCTGAAGGGCCGGAAATATGGCCGCATCTGTAGGACAGCCCATGTTATCGATGAGGAATAGGGACTCGCCGTTAGAACTTCGGGCGTAAAGATTTCTGGCGAAGACAGCAAAGGCAGAGCTCGGATCCTTTAACTCGATTCGCAGCACCAGTTCGTCGCCCAAACCCACTAACTGGGCGTCGCCTCCCGTCCGGTCCAGTATTCGCATCATTACCGACGGCGGCGGCGCTGTATTGGTCACCACAGATGTGATCGGCTGTTCCAGACGTGTCCTCGCGTTTTGCATGGATCTGGCGAAAGGATTTCTGTGATTTATTTTAATACATGAGCTTTAATTTTGGCACTTTGTTTGTTTAATACTAACGTGACATCAATTCCCGGTTGTTTCCCGACATTAGGATTAGTGCTCATAAGAGTCACCGTTTGGTCGCTGGTCTCGAAAGAGCAGAGGACACGAATAGTTCGGTCGCTGTCCGTCATAATAACCGCGTGCTGTTGTACTATCACTTCGTTGGCAAAATTGTTTGCCCCCTAATTGACCATAAAATGTTTAAATGAGTTTAAATTAATTTTTATGATAAATACAAACCTCTTGTCGAGTCCCGCATCGAGTGCCCAATGATATGGCAAACTGTTAGTTGAAAAGGATATAATTTGATAAAAATATGGTTACGATTGATATAATTTAGTAATGAATTACCTGTAGCTGTGTTTGTCCGGAACCGACCACAAAGCACTGGGAAGGACTGCCCTTAGCGTAAACGCGGCCATTAAACGGACTGTCGAAGTTGAGTGTGAGCACCATATCCTGTTGATTGCACTGAACGCTCACTAAATGCATAAAACAAAATGATAATATGTCAAATATGTCAAAAACATAAGCATTTGATGAATACCCTGTTCACAGTTGCCTTTTTCGCTAAACAATGAGTTCCTTCTGGAGACGAGAGCGGTCTGAGTCTTGCCGAGAGTGACCAGATCTTCGCTCGAGAGGGCGCAGTCACGCGAAAAACTTTCAAAGTTGACGGAACGGCACGGAAAGAGTCGCTCGGAATCGCACTGACGCTGACAGTCGGCCAATGAGAAGGAATTCGTGATCCGATCAATATATGGAAAGAACGTGTCCTGAAAGTCCTTGTATTGACACGTCGATGGCTCTGGTCGTCACAAATATAATATACGTTCATATTTTGAAAGTTATACAAAACGGTAAATTAATAGCAAACCCGTAACGCATTGGTTCTCAAAGTAATCGATAAACTCTTCGGTCGGTTTGAAGGAAAGCGGTCGCGACCGACGGTTTTCCGTAAATAATTTGCACAAACGTTTGCTGTAATCAAATGTGGCTGATCTGCACACAAAGCCCTTCTCCGCCAGACATAGATCCTGACAATCGGTTCTCAATATAATACTCGGAATCTCTTTGTCGGCCGACTCTTCAAACATATGGCCAATGATTCGCTCAAATGTCCATATTTTTTCGCATCGTTTTTCTGCAAAACAATATATTTTAAATGCAATATAAATTTAATATAAATTATAATTCATGGTATGATTGTTACCTCTGAGGCAAACCTTCTCGACATAAGTAGTGTCGGCAACTTTATTGAGTTGATTCCGGTTCTCACCGGCGGACTCGGCCAGAAAGAAACAGCTCTGCAATTGTCCGTATTCTATAACAAACGCCTTACACCTGTCGGCTCTGCGGAGGCACTCGTCCTGACAGTTGATTATAACGCCGAGACGCGGAGGTATAGGCGCTCGCTCTCTGCGGGCGTACCGCAAGTCATAGCCCCACGTCTTTTCAAACGTGTAGGCGTTAGGACTGCAGTGGGCGGGCATATGAGCGATGGAAGTGTGCGGCACATCCTGTATGGACTGCGAAACGGTGGGCGACATAAAAGGGGGCGCAATATTCTGCTGGTTTGACATTGGATTTAAGTTTTGATTTAAACCATGATTTGAGTTTAGGTTCAAATTCGGCTGCAATTGAGGCGTCGCCGGCACTCGACTCTTAAGACTGTTAAGAATAACGCAATCCTTTTCGGCATACAATGCTCGGGGCCTGAACTGCATCGACCCCTGATGGCTGGTCGCCCTGTTGTCAGAGCTGAGTAGACACAGATTACCTCCCGGAGCGTTACTGCCATCGGGACTGTCCAGATAGGTATACGATCGACAGTTGAACTCCTTTTCGTGATCGCAGGCCTGTTCGCAGTGGAAGGTAGAGGTGCCCCGAACTGATTTGGTCACCGATATTATACTAATGTCCCGCTCTATCGGATGGTATCGACACGAAAATGTTTCTAATTTGCATATGAAATGAAAATATATATGAAATATTAACTAATAGTTAACGATTATATAATAATTTCATACCAATAGCGCATTGATTTTCCATATAATCGGTTCCTTTGGTGAAGAGTAAAGTCAAAGCGTTTGAATTCCTGTCCTCTGAATAGAGTCTGCATTCGTGTAGCGAAGAGTCATAACTGGCGGACAGACACTTGTATTTGCGTTCTTCGAGACACCGTTTCCGACACTCTCCTCGCGATATGAAACGGATTGCCTCCTGAGGTGTGGCCCCAACCGACGCCTGATCTATGATGCGATCAAACGGCCAAAACTTCTGGCACTCGATATGGTTGGGAACGCAAAAGCCTTCGAAGTAATCTTTGCCCATCGATAGCCTCAGATCCAGATTACCGACGGAACTGTTCTCAAACAATCCATGACACGACTGGTGATAGTAGTCGACAACAAATGCCCGACACTGTGTCGAGTGTTCACACCTTCGCGCGCATTCTGTCACTATTCCCGGGTTCTGGAGATCACTGTATAAAAGCGTTAAGTGACCGCCGATTGGCTCAAAACTGGTCACCTTTTCAAACAGATAGCGGGCGTGTGGACCGCATTTGGACGGCTCTGAGGGGCGCAACAATTACATTAAGTTAAATTAGGGCATAAACTCTGCTAATTGTCTGTAAATGTGAAGTTATTTGAAAGCATTTTATATATTATTTGGTTATTTAGAAAATAGTAAAAAAATCTAATGAATTGCAATGAAATGTGAAATAAAGTCTTACGCGTCGGTTGTATGCCTTGTGAGTGGGGGTCTGTCTCGAGTGCTCTCAATTGTGGGTCTCTCTGAGGGTCGGCGGGACTGTTGGGTTGGTTCGGTTGGAATGGCTGCGGTTGCTGTGCAAATGGTTCAAATTGTGCTGAAAATCCGTTACCTTTTGGCGGAAGTGTTGGTATCAATGAGGCCGGGAATCGAGTGATAGGACCGACGGAACCGCCGGGCGATGTGCCGTTAGTGGACGGCTCGCTCGATGGAGTGCCTGTGCCGGTGGTGGGCAGCGATGGGGTCGGCTTTGATGTCTGACTAGTGAGGCCGGAAGTGGTGCCAGTGCTCGGCAGCGTTGAACACAAGCGTTCAAAGTATATAATTCCGGATCGTTTCTGGACGGCAGCCGATCCGGCGCTGGCCCTGTCGTCGCCCGATATAAAGCACTGGCCATTACTGGAGTAGTAGGCGAAGGATCGGCAGAGAAAGCGTTTGTTGTCATTACAGTACGATTCGCACACTTCGTGAGAGGACACGCCGTTTGTCTCAACCAAATCGGTATAAGTCGGGTACGCGTCCAAAGTCTTCTCGTAAGCGCAAGTGCTATGACTTCGGACGCATTGGTTCTCGAGATAATTGATTTTAATACTGCGGGAGCGGTAATAACTGGCGGGACTCGTGCGCCTGTCCTCCTGCGAGAGCCGACATTCGGTCGTCTCGTCGTTATAGAGAGCCGAACGACACGCGAACTCTCGCTCCTGAAGGCAGTATTCTTCGCAATCTCTACGGCTTTGCACGAAGTTTAGTGTCTTTTGGTATAGAATTGGCGCCAATTCGTGACCTATTATATAATTACACGTTTTGTTTAATTTTAGTAATAATAACAAAACATAATTGAACGCTAATTGACATTGAATTGAAACATAAAACTGCTAACTATAAGTTTCATAAAAAGTAATATTTTAAAATTTTGAATAATGAACAATATACTGTAAGTAGTAAACTTTACTTATTAAGTACTGATAAGTAATACAGGTATCATAATATGTGATTCAAAGCATAATTTCTAATAACAGTTCAAATAAAGTTTAATAAAATAAAATGAATGTGATTTTGCAGACATACCGAGTATGCGTTCAAAGGCCCAGAACTTGTCCTGGCATTGGGTCATAATCTGCGGCACTCGAAGGCATATCTTCTCGAAATAGCTCTCACCCTCTCTGGGTATGAGATCACCAGTCCTTCCCTGACTATTGCGGTCCAGTTTCTCGCATCGAGTGCTCTGATAGTTGACGGAAAAGGCCGGGCAATTGAGATTCGCTGAATCGCAACTCTCACGGCACCAACCGGTGGCGCCCAGAGTGCCGATGTTGGGCAACTCGACGGCTGTGGTGATGGCCGACCGCAGCACATGTCCGGTCATCTTTTCGTACGTGAAGATACCATTAGTGCAGAGCTCGGCGACACACGTGCGCTCCCCATAGACGGCCCCCTTTTGGACCGGAAGTGTTGTGCCGACGAGAGAGACGCCGTCGTCGCCGCTCAGAACACACCGATTACTCAAAAAACTAAACGCCCGGCAATTGAATGCCGTCTCGCGATCGCATTGCATCTGACAGTCGTCTGAAGATTGGCTGAATTGTAACGAATCCATCGATAGGACAGCGAAATCCGGTTTTGTCCGATAGACACACGAAGTCGGACCTATTTGTGCGGTTTATTAAAATTTTGCATTAATTTCATTTGTTTCCCAATACTTTGTTATTTGGGTTTTAATTGTTTTCTAATAAATGATTGTTTTATAGTCTAAATATTCAGAATATTTAGTTCAATGTTTTATGGAAACAATGCATTCCTATCTCTAATTTATATCAAGGGTTTAGTGAAAGTTATAAATTAAAAAATAACTTATAATAAGAATTACGAAATAATTTATATAATTTTATACAATTATTTATCTTTATAGGACATAATCGTAGACATGGATGCGATCGCTGTCTATATTGAAACTCATTTCCGTTAAATTATGCAAATATTTATTTAACAAAAATCTATTCAATTCGCAAAATTCTAACTGTATTTTAGAGTTAATTGTTTTTAAATGCAAAACAATTAGGAAAACAAAACGTTTTGTGAATAAATATGTAAATTTGAAACAAAAAATTGCAAAACTATTTGATCCAAAACTTCCTCAATATGGAAATGAGAGACGACAGCAATGGCTACGAGTTTTTAATATAGAAATTAAAATGATATCACGATATCATACCCGAAGCCGCGCATTGATTCTCCAAATAATCTCTGGTACTGTTGTCTAGTTGTCGGAAGGCATGCGGTTGTGTCCGGCGGTCCTCTTTGGACAGTCGACAGATTCTGCGGACGTTGTCGTAGTCAGCGCTCCGGCAGATGAAACTGTTTTCGGTGAGACACGACTTGACGCACTCCTCTTTGCTGCCGACGTTGTCCAGCGTTTTCTCGACAAAACCCTCGATGAAAGCGCCCTTCACTCTCTCGAAAGCCCAGAGCCGTTCGTGACCGCAGGCGCCGTCGTAGGCCTGTCTGGAGATACCCTTCAAACAGATCTTCTCGAAAAAGTTGGTACTAATGGAGTGTTGGAGACGATCTCTGTTTCGTTTTGAGCTCTCGGCGTAAGCACTGCACCGAAACTTTGCGTAATTGAGGCCAAAGGACTGGCATTTGGGCTGTTGTTTGCATAGATTGACACAATCCCGGGTTAGGGCCGCGTTCTCCTGTTGTAATAGAGTGCCCACAGCACTGATTCCTGACCCAAAGTCAGTTACCGTTGTCTTCTCGAAGGTCTCGATTCCACCGAAACAGTTCTGGCCGTCGACTACAGCCCTCGCTATCACTGATAACACTATAGGAATCATAATTAACTGATTCGTCAATGCATTACATTTTCTCACAATCATCCCATTAAACATATTTATTATGACATTAATTAGCATTTTATCAAAAGTTTTCACTACTTTTCTTAAGTACTTAAAGGTCTTATCATTGATAAAATGTCTTTGGATTACATTAGAAATCAATCCATTTTTACACAAAGTTTATGATTAAATC